CCCGACTCTCGTGTAGGGGCTGAGCTGGCCACGCGTGTTTTGAAGCCTACTCGTCGAGTCGGGGGGCTAGACTCGATGAGTTGAGTCTGTATTGAGAAAATCCTAATTTTAGGGCTTGCACCCTATTTAAAGGCCCTTAAACTCTCATTTCCACCTCCCTGACCATTTAGACACACTGAGAGAAACCCTAGACGAGCTGTAGTCATTATGAGAGAGAGAAAGGCTAAAGATCTTGTGTTCAAGTGCATTTTTAGAACAGGATTGAAGAGCAAGGAAGTTTGGAACGAGAAGAAGCTTTGGATCCAGTGTTCTTTCGGTGCTAGCTATCAATTGGAGGTAAAAAGCTTCTATCTTGAGCATTTATTGTGATAGATCTCTTCCTAGTGAGTTTTAGGGCTTATTTCCATCTATCTTTTGGTTTTTGAGTTATTAAGCTGATAATGGAGGTTGAGACTCCAGATCTGAGCTATATGAGTCCCTATGAGCCCAAAGATCCAAGCTTTATCAAGCTAGAGGAAAGCTTTTATGAATTGGACCCTTTATGGAGCTTATCTTGGCATTTTGAGCCTACATGCCATGCATAAACGTAAAGCTTGCAGCTTTACATGTTGATTCAGCATTAGGAGGCTAGATCCGAAGTATGAGACCTTATTTATGCCCAAAATCGTCTGAATGAGAAAAGGGACTGAAGGGACTCGACGAGTCGGAGAGCTGACTTGACGAGTCGGTTAGGGTGTACCCCGAGGGTTTTTGACGTGTGCAGACTCGGCGAGTTGGTGAGACAACTCGACGAGTTGAGAGGGTTTTATCCGTCCTTGGACTTAGAGTGGACTCGGCGTGTTGATGAGACAACTCAACGAGTAGGTGGGGTTTTCCTGATCCTTTGGACGCTGCATGAACTCGACGAGTTGGCTAGCAACTCGGCGAGTAGACTCGGGTTTTCGCGATTTACTGAGTTCTGAGGAACTCGACGAGTTCATGAGCTGTACTCGGCGAGTTGAGTCAACATGGACTGTTGACTTGAGTGTTGACCTCTGTTGACTTTTAGAGTTGGGTCAGTGCTAACTGTTGACTTCCGTTGACTTTAGGGTTTTGGTCAATTGTGGATTCTTGGAGGCCATGGAGGGGCGGAGATTTGGCCGGCGGCTTGAGTGAGGGATGCATTGCTTTACTCTGCGAGGTGAGTCTTCTCACTATACTTACCTGAGTGGTAATACCGAGTGACCGGAGGGTCTTATTTGAGTTATCGACCGGAGGGTCCTATGTGCTTATATTGAGTTATGTGATATTATGCATTTCTGTCTTTGTGATATATGCTATGTTATTCTGTGTTTTACTGAGATCGGACCGGAGGGTCCAAACCAAGTTGGGAGACTGGAGGGTCTTCACTGAGATATAGGACTGGAGGGTCCAACCCGAGCTGTGAGACCGGAGGGTCCTCACCGAGACACATGACCGGAGGGTCCACACTGAGCTGTGAGACTGGAGGGTCTACACCGAGACGCATGAGACCGAAGGGTCCATGCCGAGTTATAGCCATGAGAGGCTTATTATTTGTGTATGTGGTATTTTGGGGAACTCACTAAGCTTCGTGTTTACCGTGTTATGTGATATGTGTTTCAGGTACTTCTCAGGATCGCGGGAAGGCACCGGCTTGATTCTACACACGAGATGGATTTATGTTTTTGAGGATCCTGGATTTTATTCAAACAATTATGAATATGTGTTTTCGATAATTTGACAAACTAGGGATTTTGTGAAATGTGTTGATGAGATTTATGTGATTTTAAAATGAAAAATTTGTTTGAAAAATTACGGTGTTACAACTATACACTAGATAAAGGCAGGGGAAACATTCAAAAATCATCCTAAGTGTACATGCATCCTATGATCTAAGTTTTACTATTATAGCAACATACTTTTAAAACTAACCTGACAAGCTAAAAGAGAAAGGATTGAAACATTAACCTTTTGATAAATCGATTTGTCTTCTTGAAGCTTGATTCCTTTGATCTCTTATTTCTCTTGGAAAGACTAGTACCCAAAGTGGAGTGCCTCTAATGGTTCACACCCGAAAACCAAGAACCCAAGAAACTAAAGAAGAGAGATAAGAGAGAGAGAGAGAGAAGGTGGGGATTGAATTTTTCAACCTTTTAGAAGGTATGCATGAGATGAAATTATGAGCACCCTAAGTCCCTTTATATAGGTGTCGTGGTAACATGATAACCCTAATTTGAATCAATTAAATATTAAGATCTAATCTAGATTCAAATATCTTCCTTATCTGTCACTTGGATATATTTATGTTAGGTTTTCTATGCAACTATACACTAGATAAAGTCAGGGGAAACATTCAAAAATCATCCTAAGTGTACATGCATCCTATGATCTAAATTCTACTATTATAGCAACATACTTTTAAAACTAACATCACAAGCTAAAAGAGAAAGGATTGAAACACTAACCTTTTGACAAATCGATTTGTCTTCTTGAAGCTTGATTCCTTTGATCTCTTATTGTTCTTGGAAAGACTAGTACCCAAAGTGGAGTGTCTCTAATGGTTCACACCTGAAAGTCAAGAACCCAAGAAACTAAAGAAGAGAGATAAGAGAGTGTGTGAGAGAGAGAGAGAGAGAAGGGGGTTCGAATTTTTCAACCTTTCAGAAGGTATGCATGAGACGAAATTATGAGCACCCTAAGGCCCCTTTTATATAGGTGTCGTGGTAACATGATAACCCTGATTTGAATCAATTAAATATTAAGATCTAATCTTGATTCAAATCTCTTCCTTATCTGTTACTTGGATATATTTTGGAAGTTTTCTGGAACCCCCCAAAACCATCCACCACATGGGACTTTCAGAATGTTTCCATTGTTCAACTATTTAACATTTAGTCCATACACCTCTAGATTAATTTCAATTAATCCCAAATTAATTATAATTAATTTTAACTAGTTTCTAACTAATTTACTAGCATGTAATAAATCAATAAACTATTTCCCAATCTCCCAAAACTATTTTTAGCTATTCTTGCTCTTGAGTGTAACCAAAAAAAGACTTTGCTATTATTCTCAAAGTTACACCAATTAGTTATGATATTGGACACCTATTTCCAACAATTTATTCCTTAGACATGGCAGAAAATAGAGCTAGAGCTAGTTGGTCTTTAGATATTACAAACAAAATTTTTCTAGAAGCATGTATAAAAGATTGCTAATCAACTACTTTCAAATGGTTAACGAAAATTATTATGTTGTTTTTGATTTTGTATTTCAATTTGTATTTGGATTTCGTATGACAATTTGTATTTGGATTTTAAATGATGTATGTGTAATTTAGATTTTATGTGATAATTTGTATTTTTATAATTATTTTATCGAGCACAAGAGACAACATAAGGGTAATATGGTTATTTTTTATCATCTATTACAGTCAGTTAGAGAAATAATCAAACAATATAAACTCAGTTAGATGTGGACTCAATCATAACTTCTAACCCAATTAGCAACTATCATACAACCCCTTAAATTGTATTAAATATAAATTCAAACTCGATATATTTGAATCCTAAACCAAAGGTTTCTGTTATTTAAAAAAATGGATTATCTTTTGTAAAAGCAAGGTTGCTCAATTGGTTCGATGAGAACAATCATCTCATTTCTTTTCAAACAAGGTTGTCAACATTCTATATACATTAAAGTATACCATTATAAACTTTAAAGACTTTTCAATCATAATATCATCACACCCACATATACATTCAAATCTTTATATATTTATTTTAAAGTAATGGCTTCACATAACTAATAAATAAATAGAAAAAGTAGATTGCTAATGTTGTCCTATTCATCAACTTTATATTCATCAACTAAACAAATTTGATTGCTAATCTCCCACACATTAGGCTTTTTGGCTTCTTAATTATATGAAAGAAATATAGAGAAAAAGAAAGAAGAGAGTATTAATGCTTATCCCCCCACCATCATCCACCCCATAAGAACTTTAAGAACAAAAATATGTTCCATTATGGTTACGATAAAGTTGCGAATTTCCCACACATTAGGTATTTTAATCATTTGCATACTTAATAATATGTGAAATTATAAACTATACAATTTACGTTTGACTAAACTTTTTGGCAAATCTTCACATTTTAAAATTTGGAAAACCAATTGTATTTTCTTACGCTTTTGCTATTATTCTAAATATGTGACAGACATTATTACTTCCACATAATTATAAAGGTTTGTATTTTTTTAATCAAGGTTTGTAGTTTTGTAGGATAGTTAGTGGTTAGGATACCTATTGAATAGGATTAATTTGTGCTATAATAAAACAATCGATGGATTAACTTATTACTTGGCCCTAATTGTGTGCCTCCATCTCAAACCTAACCTTGTCATTCATATGATCCTTTTGTCACTTCATTATCTATATCTTTAATCTCGATCACCATTATTTGTTTACGTTTAACTCCTGTGAATGAAGTTTGCACGAATATACGAAACATATAAATATAATAAACATTTTATTAATAAAATATATAGGGCTCAGAGCTCAGTATAATATAAAATATTATAGGAGAAAAGATGTGCACAGATACGCTACAGAAAAACATACAATTGAAACTAGAAGTCAAACCTGCCATAATCTACGAAACACAAACATGACCTTTTATTTATAAACCAGATAAGTTGTCAGAAATGAAAATAACTTATTGTAAATCAATTGAAACGAAACCTAATGACATAAATATGACCTTTTTATGCATAAATTGTCACATTCAAAACTGATCGTCAAACACGACATAAGAAAGATTGTATCTAAAAATATATATGATGTAAAATATACAAACATAACCTTCATTTTTACTCTGTCCCATTTGTTTCGTGAAGAATACACAAACAACGTACAAAATATGTGCAAAACACAAACATAAATATAATCACTATCAAATTAATTAAATAATAACTATAATTTCAGATTTACAATAAATTTTTAGTGATCATCCGATGACAAAAAAAAATGTAATAAAACAAACCAACTATTTTGCCTCGATTTTTACTTGTATAATGATTTTCAAGCTAACATCCGATAGATTAGTTACAAATGTAATAAAAATCTTGGGCCAGGCCCATTACCAGGCCCAGTGGTTCAATTGAATTCATCATTGGCATTGTGGATCTAGATCTTCAGGCCATCCAAACTCCTCCAAAAAGGCCAACACCACACCATTAGACCACCCGAAACCAGTCTGCAAACCAACATTTTAATTAGAAAAGGGTTATCAATATTAAAACAAAACAGAGGTTATATTGTATTTGACATGCATTGTATTGTTATATAATCGATGTACAAAAAATATTTAAATGAAATGTGCGCTTACTTGTGGCACATATTCGCCACCACCTCCAAATTCTCCACATTTGGTGACATCATATTTCTCATGCATTGCGTTGACCTTCTTATAAACAATGTAATTAGTCCTAATCCACTTTTTAGCAATATCTTTTGCTAATAATTTCGCTTCTTCTGATCCTGACATAACTAGTCCCTCAACTATCATATGTTGCAACGGCGCCCAACCATTCGGAAAATCCCTATTTTCAACAAAAAAAAAATCACAAAAATGGGTGATAAAAATGACTATATTTTTTACTCTTTATAACATATTTCATAGTGTGAAATATAAAAGTACATTACCATTGTTGGCTGGAATTAGTCAACGATGTTGCAACCCCAGCAGCATGAAGGAGACCCGAGCTTTGGAGACTCTGTGCAACCTTTTTAACGAGGGTTTTGTCTTGAAATCGCACCCACAATGGTATAAAGTTTGAGGCAAATATGTCTTGGTTTTGGTATTTGGCATCCCATGTGTAAACATCCTCCTACAAATTGTTACACATTAGAGTAGACACAAGAAAGGGTGCACCCATGACCCACGGCTCATGGTTCATGGTTCATGGTTCACACCATTTTAAGATTATGTTACCTTGCGGTTCGAGTCAGGGTCGAGCCAGTAATCGAACCATTGCCCTTTCTCTTCGTTCCAAAAAACAGCATCCATGGCTTTCTTTCTTGCTTTTGAAGCTTCTTTGAAGTGTAAACAATCACTAGTTTTTCCAGAAACTTTTGCTAAGAAGGATATGTCAAGTTCCATCTGGGAAAAGAAAAACATATAAAAAAAATCAAAATTTTTAACCGTTTAATCGCTCTACTATTTGGATAAAATGGTTTTTCTTTGTACCTTGTATATGAGTGTATTCAAATCAACGGGTAAAATCATTGTTGTGGACAATGTTGTGAGATCTGAAGTATCCCTGTAACAAATTATCCATTAAAAAAAAGAGACAATCACAAAAAATAACCAAAAAAAGGATTTAAAATGTATTTACTTCATCCATCGGGTACTAAAATCCCAGCCACTTTCTGCAGCCGAAGCAATCTCCCTATACACTTTCTCTTTCTCACAATCCTTCAAAATTTTAATGGCAGTTTCTGTGTCCTGTGAAACAAACAAATCAACAATTTTGTTTAATTTTTTTTTACAATTCACAAGACAATTTCTTCAACTATTATCGAATTTCTTACAATTGTGAATGATTCTGGCCTTGGTTTATTCCACATAGCATAATAACGACTTAAATTATGGATTGTTCCTTGAGCGTCTTCAATGGTGACAACATGTATGCCTGAATTCCAGAATTTGTGTTCTTTGATGAGAGCAGGGAGAGCTTTTTTCACCAAATTCATGTCGTGAGTTTGCTTATATACCTCAATCACCATTGAACTCAACAATGGAGGCTGACTAAAAAAACGTTTTCACCAAATTATTGAGTTTGTAATATAAAATTCCCTAAATTTGTATTTAAAAGAAGCTTGATATATAGATATATACCTTCTGTTTGTATAATATGCCCTGGCGCCATTAAGAACGTATCCATATGTCTCTATAAGGTCAATCAGATTGAAAATTATCCCTTTAGCCGTTTCGTACATTTTACTTGTTAATAATCCCCTGAAATCAAGAAACTGAATTGGTAAACAAGATTCTTTGGGTAATTATCGATCTCAATTCACAAATTGAAAAACTTACCTAATTACCCAATATGAATCCCAGTAGTAAACCTCTTGAAATCTGGATCCGGGTATAATCACTGGGTGTTTTAAAGGAAGAAGAGTATGCAATTCAGGGTGTTCCAAAACCTTATCGGACACTTTCCGACTCAAATTCTTCCAGAGAGAATGGACTTCGAGAGCCCAATTTCTCACACCCTGGTGCGCCACTTTGGGCAAAAACCCTTCAGGTTCAGCCATGAAGTCGATTGGTTTAACATACTCCAAATCCTTTTCTGCCCCATTCATATATTTGTTCAGAAAATCATTAAAATCGGAAGGTAACACAGACCCATTTGCTGTCTTGGCCAAATCATTGAATGCTTGTTTGACGATTGGAAGATCGAACTTCAATGATAAGTCAACGTAAAATTTCGGGTCGAATTTCATGGGGCCGAAGGTTTTGAGAGCGGTTTCTTGGATTCTCTCGAGAAAAATAACAAGTGGGGTTGTGGGCACCACTGGACCATGATCAGTTAGTTTGCAGCTGTGTGCAGGTTCTGCGCTTACATCCATTGCTGCAGTCAAGAAAAGGAAGAGAGTAAAATTAACAAGTTTCATTGGTTTAACATTACCCATTTTAAACTTAGAATCAAGGATTTGCTTGAACTAGTGAACATTATGATGTGTTATTTATATAGATAATATGAAGACGATGACCAAGTTCCTGTAAAATGTGCCGGCTTTTGTAAAAGATACTTGATTTAAATGCTAATCGATACGTCCAACAAAGAGAGACCGATGCAGGTTGTTCTTTGGATCAGGTGATGTGGACGTTGTTTGTTTTCTATTTGATTTTTATAAATGTATAGTGATGTGTAGTTCTCATGAACCGACTCTGGATTGTTTGAAGAAGCAAACGAAGTTAAAGTAGAAATGCATTGATCGATTGAAGTACAACTAACCCGATGGATCGATTTCAGATGCGCAATCCAAAGCTATTGTTCATTCCCGATGGCTAGGGTTTTATTTACCGTTTGGTTTAATTGTCTTGAAACGTCCGTATACAGGCAAGAAGCTCAAACCTGATTACACTCGGAGACATACACCACTCCATATAGATCAATCAAGTTTACATGCTCGTCTTTTGTTTTTATAGAGACAAAACTGCAAAAATGGTACTGTGTTATGCATTTTTTTGGGGTTTTAGTCCAAACTCCCATTTTTTGGATTCGTAGTCCTTTTGGCCATGTTTGTACGTAAATTTGGTCCCTCGTAAAATTGAAATGACTATAATGTCTTCTGTATATTTTTTATGTTTTTTCTATTTAATTTAAATAAAAAAGAAAATAAATAATTAATTTGGGCCTCTCTCTCTCTCTCTCTCTCTCTCTCTCTCTCTCTCTCTCTCTCTCTCTTTTCTTCTTGAAAATTGTCCAGATGAATAAAAAAACACCAAGAACAAAAAAACATCCATAACAAATTGTTGAACTCGTCGGTTGTCAATGGAGATGGAGAAAAGAGAATGAGAAATCATGTCTAGGGTTAGTCTTCTCCATTTGTTTTCAGATAT